AAACCTATAGTATGAAGCAAAAAATTTGCTTGTATTTGCAAATATAACCTTCTGGTTTTCATGATAATAATTGGATGAATCTGTCTTCTGTCTTCTAATTGTTGAACAGTTATCCTGAAAAGTATGAATTTTTCCCCCAGTATATGAAATGTTTCGCATACAGGCTCTCAGGAAAAAAACAAAGTCCTGAATGGTTTTGAGTCTCTCTGATTTCCTACTCCATGGTTTGTACAAACTTTCTTTACATGCTACCCATTAGTACCGCTCAAGATAGAGCATGTTTCTGACTTGTTTTTAATCTTTTATTTTCTACTTCGATAACAAGTCACCTGTTGGAAAGAATAGCAAAAGAAAATACACTAGCTTATGTTGAGAGTGTCCTGAAGTTGGAACATTGAATTCATAATGTCATTAAATATTATCATCTCTGAACTCAAGGGTCTTGCAATATGTGAGTGAGATAAAGATACATACATAAAAAGTTTCCCATCAAAACACAATACAGAGTGCTATTGACCAAATGAGTAGATTATTATATCAACTCAGCAGGTGAATTGGCATCAAACTAGATGAGCCCCTAGACCAAAATCTTTACTTTGTCAGTGATCAGGAACTACTGAAAGTTTTTGATCAGGGGAGTTATGTGAGGAAACTGTTTTCTTCAGAAGATGATGAAATGATACTCTTTAAAAAGTATATTGTCATCATGTAGCAGAGATTGCTCTAAACCCTGGACCTTCTAAGAGGACTGGTGAGAGCTCTTCTCTTCATCAGAACTCAAACTCTCCAAGCACATCCTGTATACAAGAGCTCTAGTTCTGACACAAGAGGCCTTTCAATCAAGAGCTGTGTTACTTGGAAGATGCCTCTCTGGTGAATTTCTGTTCAATCATCTTCCAGACAAAGATAGCCATTGACTCTTACTTGAAGAAAACATTACTTCACCACTTACTTTTTGGGTCTCACTGTACCTATCTGCTCATGTCTGTTAAATATCACCATAGGAGGTGGATATATTCTCATGTAACCCATGCGATCTTTCTTAAAAATGTACTTCTTCAAACAGTCATTATTTGATATGTGGGGTCAATACATGGGGCAGATATGGAAAAGTTCTTAGACTTGGTAAATATTTTAGCAAATTTTCAAATGGGAATTCAAGATACATTGATGTATGCTAACACCTTCAAAATTAGTCTTCACATGAGTCCATACTCTTATTATGTAGACATTTGGGATGGTTAGGTAAGTAAATCTTTTCCAACAAGCTATTTTGTTTCTTATTCTTACATGTGACAGACATTGTGATCCTCGGGTAGGATGTTTGTATGACCGATCAAAAATACTACAGAAAAAAAGGAGAAACTAATATTCCTTCAATTTATTTGGAAAATAAGACATATATCAAAAATTGCTTAAAATTGCAGGTATTACATTACAATCCTTTTCTGAGCATGGTGGAGAATGCTTATAAACCCAATACTCTGGAGGTTGAGACAGGAAGATTATAAGTTTTAGACTATCCTGAACCATACAATGAAACACACACACACACACACACACACACACACACCTTAATGAACTATATTGATAAATGGTGAAGTAGCATCAATGATAGTTGTAAGGAAGAGGGAAGAGGCACGACAAGGTAAATGTTCTAAGGTTACTAGGAAGAAATAAATAACATACAGGTAAAAGGTATGAGTCATAATGGAGGTAACATGGTAGAAGATTTGGTAGATTTGATGAAGTAGTTATTAATATTATCGCTTTTAGTTAGTATTGATATGTTGATATAATGAAATATAAATTTTAGAAACATCAGTGGAGCACTGGGACACAGAATGAATTGAATTAGAATTTTGAAATAAGAAAAAATAAGAAATGGGAAGAGTACCAGAAAGCAGAGTGTGTGTCAATAGCTTCATGGCAGGCAGTAACTATAGAAATGGAGAAAAAAGATCAAGGCTAAGATACTTTCTATATAGCTAGGGGTAGTTCAATGACTAGAGATATATGGGAGTCATTTGGGTAGACATGGCATTTCAAACAATGCAAGCTGGAGGAGATAATCAAGTAAGAGAATAAAACTAGAGAGAAGAAATGAAGTGCATTGAAATGCATCTGTGTGGACACGGAAATGGTGAAGGAGAAAGTAGAGGACCGTGATTAGAGTATCAGAAAACAAAGTTCAGGGGAGACTACCCAACAATACTGTGAGTGCCTGCCTCTACTTTACAAATGAAAAGGCAGAGGCTGGAGGAAAAGGATAATATGACTTGAAGTGAGTTATGTGTCAGGAAGCCATCATGACTTAAGTTCTCTGCTAATTTCTGAGAGCTAGTGGCTAAACACATACACACACACACACACACACACACACACACACACACACACACATCCAAGTTGCTTCATAGAGTAAGGGTTCATGTGGCAATGTAGATTTTAAAGGAAACGGGGAGAGGGATCCTAGATAACATAAGAAAACCAGGGCTGGGCAGCATACAATAAGACTGAACTGACATACTTTTGATTGGATAATAGGAAAATCACTACTGCATAAGCAGCAAGAGCAGGGAGATGGAGGAAGTGGCGTAGGTAGACTGTAGGAGGCATTGAATTGACTTACTAAATCCTGTTATTTGTCTTCTATTACGTAGAGCACAATTCTTTGAAGTTTCTGCCTTTATTCAATTCATTCCTCACCTATGCAGTCTTAGCTTAATCTCACCCTGGGAAGGATGCCATGAAGGAAATTGAAAATCAGGTTTTTCATCTGAAGCTCCAGTGCCCACAAGAGCATAGTTTTAATTCAAATAATTGTTTGGTGGGAGTGTTGTGCCAAATCAGAGTGTGAGTCACTCTGGGAAAAAATAAAAGAAACCCACTTAGCAAAATCCTAAAGATCAACTTCTCGAAGATTTTACTGCCAAACACACCTAAAATGTATCAATACAGCCAACTATCAGCTAGTAATGAGCATTGAAAGAATTTGTTAGCCTCACTTCTCAGGAACAGGAAGGCCAGGGCAATTACTGCACTTAAAAAGTTGTCATTAGCCGGGCGGTGGTGGCACACACCTTTAATCCCAGCACTCGGGAGGCAGAGACAGACGGATCTCTGTGAGTCCGAGGCCAGGCTGGACCGACAGCCTCCAAAACAATACAGAGAAACCCTGTCTCGTAAAACCAAAAAAAAAAAAAGTTGTCATTGCTGCTATTGATTGCTGTTACAGAATGTTTATGACATATGTTTGAGCACTTGCTACCTATATTTCCCTCTGTTGTACAAATGAGTTATTCTCCAGCCCTCGCTGAAGATTGGGATGCTCTATCCAATTTCGGTTCTGACTTAACTCTACCCTGAAGCTAGCTAGGCATGGTGACACTCACCTGTTAGGCCAGAACATACACAGCTGATGGAGAAGGGCAGCGGATCCAAAGCAAAACTTTTGAGAAAGAAAGAGGGGGAAGGGGGAAGGGGAGAGGGAAGGAAGGGAGGCAGAAAGAGAAAGACAAAGATCCTAGAGAAAATGGAATCTTGCATCCACAATAGTGTCCTGATTCTTATATTTGTGGTTGTGATCCTAGCCTTTACTGACTGATCCATCTCTCCAGTCCTAGTGTCTTAATTGCAAAAACAAATATCTTTAGAATCACTTTTGCTTTCCTCTATTTCTGGCTACAAAGTCAATCTGATAAACTCAGTAGCATGAGTTTGCCAGCCTGTCGTGGAAAAGTAACCCACCCTGGCTAGGTAGTCTCAGTCTTCAGAGATCTCACACTTTTGGGAGCACTTTCAATGGCACATTGATTTAATAAAAGAAAACTTACTAGATGATATAGGAGATGACCACTGTGAACATTATTATCTCAAAATGCCAAGTACATTATTATGCTGGGAGTGTGAAGAGAGTGTTTATCTGTACATTAACCAAAGTGATTCAGGATGTATTTTCCACATTCAAAATGCTAGAGGTCAGAAACAAAATATTTGTATCATAAATGATGTTTCTTATTAATCCCCAAACCTCTTATTTTCTGGATTCCTCATTCCTTTTCAGAAACACACCAACACCTAAAATACTGAAATAGTTCTCTCAATTATGTGCAATGAAATAACAGTAAGGCAATAATTTGGGAGTAACGAGACCCAAAACTCTTCATTAAAGACAGATGGCACTGAGCTGTTATCACAACTATGTAAGTCCAATATCAGCCAGTATTATGACTCAGATTATGCTGATAAATAAAATATTATCAGTAGTACAGCAGACCAAGCAGCTCTTGGCATGTAAATGCCTATGCATATAAAGGTTTCTGTGTAGAGCACCACACCAGTTTTTGGAGCTCTGTAGATGTTGGCCACCTCCAGGCATTGAACAAAAATGTTACTGAACAAAAAAATGTTACTGAGCAAGTATCTATACATATAAGATGTTTAATTTCCATTTTGGTCCATTTTCTGTTAATATAAAAAATTATCAGTCTGGGCATGGTGGCACATGCCTTTAATCCTAACACTAGGGAGGCAGAGGCAGGCAGACCTCTGTGAGTTCGAGGACAGCTGGGGCTATTACACAGAGAACCCATGTCTTGAATAACCATTTTAGAAACAAGTGTTACCAGAGGCTATGTACTTTATGAAGTAGATTGTGTGTCTCCCGATTCTGGTGGCTGAAGGGTTGAAACAATATGGTGACAGTGTCACAGCAGAGCCTCCCATACCCACCCCTGCAACACAACTTGGTGCACCATCAGAAATGCAGAAAGGATCAAACACTGGGTGACTTTTTGCTTTATAACAGTCTTCTCATACAAGAATTACCATGGCTTCCGTAAGTACTACAGTGTTGCCTCTGAGGCTAGAATTCCCAGTAACCTAAGTACCTTTTGCCAGATCCATTTCTGAAAGTTTCTACCACTCAGTGCTATCACCCTGGTGACCAAGCAGCATAGACCCCTGAGGGACACATTCACCTGTACTTTTTAATCTTACAGATTATCCGGAAGGTTCATCATCACTTGCTGTGGAGACAGAAACGTAGCGGTTTCCATGTTTTCTGCATCTCCAACAGGTCAGTATTCTGAAGGAGGCACATTTAGTGCCACCTGGACTAAGAAGCAGCCTTGGTAGCAGAACTAGAAAAGGAGTGTGTTCTCATTCTGGTGAGCGAAGTGTTAAATTCTTCACCCTCGTTGCACACAGGAGAAGTTCTGTGCATTATTTCCCTGTGCAATGTACTGAAAAAGATGCCTTTATTCCCTACAAACTCACACGTACTTCACTTGTGCTAAAAAGCCTGAGGGAATCCAAAAACAGCTAAATATCCCGTTCAGGTTATTTCTTTTCATACCATGAATTATAAACCTTGTCGTGGTGCATTCCAGGTCTCTGAAACAATACAGATTACAATAAGTTCTTTGTGCCTGACTCCATTATGTCTGTTAATAACCTACTCTTACGCACTAGCAGGCAAAGAGCAGCCTCCCTGTACTCCAGCCCTCCTAAATGTTACTAATTTGTTATCAGTGGCAGGCAGCATTTTGCACAGGATTCTCTTTGACCTGGTGAAAAGCCGAACAGCCTTCTCTTTACAACACTTACAAGTAAATAAGACCAGTGTAATTCCATATTAAAAGGAGGCTTAGTTATAGAAATGCCATGGTGCTCAGAGCTCTGAACTGGTAAGAAGTCACTTCTTTTCCCATGAAAAGGCTACAGTTACTCAGAAGCCTCTTAATCTGTCCATGGGTTTCAGTTTTTATATAAAAAGGAAGTATTTCAATAATCTTTACACAAAGACTCACTGATTCCACATATTTCCTTCAAAATGGAAGAACAAATGTGGGAAAGCCATTTGCAAAATATGCAGGATACAGAAATTAACATCCTTAATTTAGTAATTTCTTGTAAATCATTAAGGAAAGAAAAACTCACAAGTTAGAAAATGTACAAAAGATGTAATAATACAATCAAAATTAATAAATTAATTATAAAATTATTCAATTTTCCTGTAAAGAAGTATAAATTACTGTAATTACAGATTTTTGTCTACTAAATCAGCCAGGTTTTATTATACTACCTAATGTTGGCAAAGACACACTGAGACAAGTATTCATATTCGTTGCCAATATTTCACTCATTTGTGCGAAGGCAAGTTGGTGACATATGTAAAATCCTTAACATGCTCATATTTTATCTGGTAACTAACTGTATTTTTGGAATGTATTTAAGTGAATTAACCAGAGATAGAATATTGGTGAAACATTGAAACATGCCACCCTATTATTCTAATAGAATATTATTAAAATTTTAGAAATATTATACAATGACTAAAATTGTTATTTTAAAGAACAATTAACAGGATTATATAAAATAAAATGCTGTATGAATGAAGTTATTTGTGTGTGTGTGTGTTAGTATAGACTGAATCTAACTTTGAGGGTCTATCCATCTTTTCATTATTAGGAATTAGGCTATGAATGCTATCCTTGAAAAGAAATAAATTAGAACCATTTCCATAGGACAGAATCTAGAAACAAAATTATTAATATGAATATATTTTCTCCTTTAAATGTTTAATTAGTGTATGTTTGTTTGGGGGTGGGGCTCATGCGTGTCATGACAAACATGTGGGTGTCAGAGAACAGCTTCCTGGAATCAACTTTCTCCTTCCACCATGTGGGTTCAGGGGATGGAACTCAGGTCATCAGGCTTGGCAGCAAGTGCCTTTACCCCCTGAGCCATCTTTGTCTTTTTAAAACATATTTTCATAATTTTTAATGGTTACAAATTATTGTGAACTAGGTGTCACTATGCAATCATTCACAGTTGTTCAACTCACCTGTAAACTTCTGCTTTTTATCCCCAGGAACCACCATCTCCCATGAGGCTTACACACTTCAATGTTGAGAATCACTCTAATCCTCAAAATAAGTCACCATGTTGGATAGAAATCTTCACAGTTTGGGTGTTCCATCAAATACGTGCTGTGCAGGTGTTTTAGGACTTTGCAAATTGACTTTGCTGATTGAACTCATTTTGGAAACAATTGCTTCAAGCCAGTTTTTCTGTCTGACCCTCCCCCAATCCATGAAAGTCTAAGTAAATATATATATACATATATATGTGTATATATATATACATATATATATATGTATATATATATATACTCATCTAGTTGGGTAAAAGGGAATTCAGAAGATTACCATGGAGTCTAATTCCCCCATGAAAGACTATTAATCATGCCTCTCTGCAGGGTCTTTTCTGGTATTGAGGGGAGTCAGCATGTGTTTGCGGCTTATGTTCATGGGCGTATATAAACATGTGTATGTGCAACAGAGTTCTGCCAAATCTCAAGGTTTAAAAACTGAGGATTGTATTTAATCATGCTTTTCACCTAAATAGCAATTTAAATATTTGATGAACTCTGAACTAACCCTATATCACGTGTCTGAAATTTAAGAAGGAGATTAAGTAGACTGTGACCATGGTCCTGTTGAGAATTGAACAATGCAAACCCTGTCTTGTCACAGAAATGTCTGAAAGCTAATAGGGCAGACCAGATCAGACTTCCATTTCAGTGAGCACAACAATTAGCATTCTAAGGTCGAGCATGATGGTGCATGCCTGTCATCCCAGCACTTGGAAAGCAGGGGGGGTGCTGCAAAGTCAGGACCAGCCTGGTTGTTTTACATAGTGAATTCCAGGCAGCTTGGGTTACATAAGAAAACCCTATCTTCAAAAATCAAACAAACAAACAAACAAAAAAGGGAATTACTTTCTTAAAAACTTTTAATGCCAGGCTACAGTCAAAATCTCTATGTTATTCATTTCTCTGCTATATAGCTTTATCTTAGCCTTTGTAAATTACTTTTATAATGGTAGAAATACTATAAGCCTAAGTTACAGAACATCCATTTTATAAAAAGGATTTAGGGTGATTTTCAGTATAATTAAAATTCTGTTGAAGAAGGTAAAGTTTCAGATATGACACTAGCCTGAGGATTAGCTAAAGGTCTATGTTTTCACAGGAGGAGTTAATGTACAGTTAACCGAACAGTGATATTCCAGTCCTCTTTTTTTAAGCTTCGGTAGCAGCTCAGCCATTAAGAGAGTTTACATCTATTTCCCCACTTATTTATAACCAGCCTTCCTTTCAGTCCTAGTGCCTGGATCAATGAGATGGACACTAATGCTGCTTCTTTATAATAATAGTACCTAAGAGTATTGATGTTTTTCATTTTTCAACCAGCACTCTAATGCACAGCTGCTGACAATAAAAGCCCCAACTCTTAACAGAGATCAGTGGGAGTTACAGGCAGCTCACAGTTATCAAGGAATTGAACTCCTTAAGAGACAGTTGGGTTTACTAAATTATTCTCTGTAAAATGTCTCTGGGTGAAAAAAGAGTTGCCTGGCACAAACAAATCTGTGTTGGGGTGCCAGTGCAACTGAGAAGGAAAACAATCCAGCTATTTAAAGTAACAACCAAATGGGTCCATTTGGACCCCCTAGGTCATTTTAACCAAGGTGAGACATTTAGAATCAAATAAATAGATTGCAGTCTGCATTTCATATAAGAAAATACAAGATGTGAATAAATCTATAAGGGCAAGGGCTTAGGGACTGCTTCTAAAATTCACAGATTAAGGAGAGACCTAGAAGACTGTGTATGATGGATTCATGGTGAAAGCTAATACTTTCACATGGAAAGAGCTTTCCCTTTCCAAGCTCCTTCTAAAGCACCTCTCTTGTCTAGCTTTCCCTTGGAAGCATATTTGGCCATCCACATGGCTCTAAGATCCACAAGCCCTGCCTTCTAGTCCTTTACAGATGTACCTTTCTCTAAGAGGCTGAAAGCAGCAGTTCATAGCAACCAGCATCAAAGCAGCCTTCCCGGCCCCACCTATCGTCTCTGCTAAGGTCCAGAACATCCAGGCTGTGATGCAAAGTCAGGAAGGCATCAGGAAACTCCTCTGTCGAATGCGTCAGCTAGCATTCAGCCCTCATAGAGATCATGTCACAAAGGACATGACCGTGGAAGTAGTGGGAGGGTAAAGCTCAGGTTAATGCAAGCTGATTGCTCAGTGTCTTAAGACTCACGTTGTCTCCAAAAGGCCAAATAAACCAGGGGTTTCTCTGGGTGCTTGGAGAAAGAAGAAACCCTATTCTTGCTTTAGGATCCTTATCCCATTAGTTAGACATTGATTATACCCCTCTATATAGATTCTCTATGTATTGATTACTGTATATAAGCATCTAAGTGGTTAGTTATTGATCAAGAAGACAGGTTTGTTTTATAATCAGCACACCCTGACCTCACTCATTTGAATTATTTTCCTTAGAACCCTACCCAATAACTTCTGTGGGACGTCATTCCCCAATCTTTGGTACTCTTCTTCCACAGTTGGAAAATGGAGCTACTTGTTGTTAATATCCCACAGCTGAAAGGTGCTATGTAACTCCCTAGTGCTCTTACATGTTTTCATTTGCAGGACTGGAATGAAAAGTTTAACCATTACAGTATTTCTGAGCAAGTAAGTGTGCTCCATTCTTTCCTTCCACACTCTCAGTGCAGAATATTTTCTTGCAGAGCCTGGAGTACTTCGTTAATGTTCTTCCGTTTGTTCCAGCAATGTCCTTGGAAAGAGACAGAATAGAAACTATTTTCCAAAAATTAAAGATAAAAGAGATAAAGTGCCGTCCAAAGCATATAGATATTGCGGACAGCCCACTGTTAGAGAGGCTTGACATCTTAGTGCAGGAATTACTATGGGGCACCTTAAGAGCACCGAGAACAAAGAGAACAGAATCAAACTCCACAAGAGTCCCTGTCTCCAAAATCTTGCAGTTTTCGATTTAGACAGCTCTTTATTTTCTAATGCAATATGTGCCTCTTCCCCTCACTAGCCCGATATGACATATATATTTCGCACTAGATGGCATCAGCCAGTGCCATAATCTCCTGTGGCACCCAGACAGCCCGATCTCAGGGTTCATTTTTCCAGGGAAAAAGTGTCTTCCTCACATTCGTGCCAAATTGCAGAGTATAGACATTTATGTTAATGGATACTTAAGCACAGTCCAGGCATGTATGTTTTAAGAATGCTGTGTATACATTGCTGCAATCTACACCTAAGATTTGATTAGGCCCAACTGACAGGAATGTAACATAGTCAATCCCTTTCAACTCTCATCACACATATCTACATATGTGTACACTTACATGGATATGAATGTACACTGTTTTAAGGGGGACTGCTAGGTCATTAGAGCAAATATTTATAGGGATGATTCTGTTCTCTCCTTTTAAATGAAGTCCAAAATCCCAGGAAGTGAAAATTTTGTTTATCTGTTCTAAAATGTCTGCTGTTAGAGTAGCTAAAAGCCTCAGTTGGGCTGAAAGACATGTTCTGTGCAGACACAGAAGACAAGATTATCAGACACTATTGCAAGTTCCATCTTCGCAGAAAATTCATGCACTCTGTCCAATCAGAAGGAAATGGTTGACACTGTATGCTATATTTGCATTTCTTTAATGATACCTATAATATACCATATTATACTGTAGCCTTTGCATGTGGGTATTATGTAACATAGTAAAGAATGGGTGGCTTTTACCAGCATGCAGCCCTTGACTTGTTTACTTCCCCCAAAGGGCTAAGGCTGTGTCCTATACAGTGTTAAATGCGTTCTTTGGAGTGGCCTAGTTAGCATCTGTCTACAGAATGATTAAAAACACACAGTGAATGCAGTCTATCAGGATAGTTTTGGTAGGAAATGATTAAAATAAAAGAACAATAAGATAAGATGTATTCAAAGAATAATTGCTTTCAGCCCGCTGTCTAAATCAGCAAAGAAACACAGCAGGAAACCTGGAACTGGATCTTGATGATGTATGGACTGTATTGGAGAGCCAGAAAAGGAAAGACACTGGGGACTTCCACAGTTAAGCTCAAGTTGCCAATTTGCTATAAATTGCCATCAGTCTGCTTACAGTGACTGTATATAGTATTCTTAAAACCATGTGTCTTGCTACAGAAATACTGAAAAATGCTGGTCAGCTTTGTCTTCCTATGTCCTTTATTAAAACTATATACATAAATTTATTGTGTCTTTTCTGCCATAATCTGTAAAACAATATTGGTAAAGGCTAGAGCTCCAGGCCACTCTGATGGCAGTTCTGTATGTCTCATTTCCAGGGAAACGATAGTTTACTCACTCCCAGGTGGGTTGGTAGGTGTGGCATATAGATGCTTATAGACTCCTGTAAGATCTCATCTTGTGAACACCTCCTCCTCCACTTTCAGTGTTTTTCTTTTACATGAGCAGAGCTGAGAAATTAACAGTAATGGCTTTTTGATAGAACACTGACCAGGCTAATGGCACTTAATCGCGTTCAGCCTCTGCTCAGGCTCACACGCCTTCTGTCTTTTACTTTGCCATTATGATAGTAAAAAAAAAGGGAAGAAAGAAAGAAAAGTCTTGCTTTATGTGTCTAAACATGCTCTTGAGTCTGGTTGGTTTTTCTCATACTGAGAACTGTGCTTTTTGGTCTCCAAAAGTATACCACCTGAAGGAAAAATATAATAGTCCTGAGAGAAAAATGTATTAGCCCACTTGCTCCTAAACCACACATTATACACTTAGAGAAGTATTTGAAACTACCATATCAAGAAAGATCTCTGAAAGTTTTACTTTAGGGTTGACAAGATGGCTTGATAAAGTATCTGAGGAGGGGGACCCAAGTTCAGATATCTAGCACCCATGTAAAAAGCCATGTGTGTAACTGCATGATCTCCAGGACTCCAGGCAACAGCAGGATGTCTGAGAGGAGTTCTGGTGAGGGTTCAATGACGACGTTGTGCCAGAGACCTTGAAGCAGGCGAATGACTCATTGCAATGAACATTTTGCAGGTGGGGCTGATTGGACAAAGGGGTGTACTGCATGACACAGCACAGATCCTGATGCCACTAGGATGGATGAAGAGGTGTTAGAAAGACAGAGGAGCAAGGTGGTGGTTTGTTTTGTTTTTAACTAATTTGGGGGTTCCTTGGGGGACATGCTGCAGGGGTGAGAGCAGATATGGAAGGGCTGGAAGGTGAGCAGGATTGGGGTGAATGATGTGAAATTCCCCAAGAATCAATAAAGAATTGCATTTTTTTAAAGCTGGATGTGGTGGTGGTATGTGCCTATAATCCCAACACCAAGGAAGCAAAGACAAGAAGATCCTCAAGGCTTGCTCACCAGCCAGCCTCAAGGAATCAGTGAGTTACAGGTTTAATGAGAGATTCTGCCTGAAAAGCAAGGTAGGAAGTGAGTGGAGAAGACATCTGACATTGCCCTCTGATTTCCACACCCACAAACACACATAGAAATAGAATAGGGGTTCCATCATCTGAACAAAAAGTCCTTTACAGAAAGAATGGAAATTCCTCTCCCCTCAAATTAGCCAACAAAGAAGGCAGAAGTGACTAAAATGGACAGCCCAGCCAGCTGAAGTTGGGTGACTGGCTGACTAAATAATAATGGAGAATTGAAACCGCTTGGGAAAGGCACAACCTGTACAGGTCAGGCTCAACAGAAACCCAGAAACAAGTCTTTTATTTAGATTAAGTCTTTAAAAATGTATTTACTTTGTTAAAAATCTGTGCTGAAAATACCATTTGACGACATACTGCAGTGCAATGCTGCAAACAGCTTTAATTTGCATCACAATGTACTAGAAACAAAGGAAAACTAATTTCTTTCTAGATTAAAAGAGACATAAAGGAAGTCTCTATATAAGAATCTTATTTGAGTTAAGATTGTTACCATGGGAATTTAAGTCATAGACATTCAAAAAGAAACTTTATAGACATAAATAAAGATGTAAATATATAGAATTCTTTATATAGGAACACGTAAACATATTAGTATGCATTTTCTTCATGATATAAGCAACAGAAAATATCAAATCTAATTTTTTCATCATATGCAGTGACATTGAAAAACTAGTCCATTTCTCTTTGAATATTAAAATACTCATTCTTGCACAGTAGCACAATTCAGTGTTTACCAATTCTAGAAGATTCAGAAATTTACGATAGAAAACAGTACATCTTAAGCGAACAGTTTTGAAAATAATATTTGAATATGTCATGGTCTTGAAAGGCAATTTCTTCACAAACCTCCACTGAAATATTCAGGTCAACTTTATGAATTAGTAGAGTCTCAGACCCTGCCCCTGACCATGTTAGCAAACTCAAATAAATTCAGCTGTAGCAAATAACAACTCCAGTGAAGATAAAACACAATTCACTGTGCAAGGAAATCAAAAGTTTTGCTGTTAGAACATCACAGAGTGTAGATGACTAACAAATTAGTCAAAATGTTATTAATTTATACTTACCAATCCATCCTCATACCATACATAAAACACCCTGAATAATTAGCAAGCACCTTATTAGATAAATGTGTTTCAGAGAGACCCAAGAAAATGCAAACCTGAAGTTGCTTTTGGATCACAAAGAATCTGCCTGCAGCAGGGCTACAGGATACTGCAGTTGAGTATCCTATAAAATGTAAAACTATCCAGGAGAAACACCAGGAAAATAATCCAAAATGAAATCGGAAGCACCAACATTTTTAACCCTTTTCCACCGGTTATTTCCTCTGAATTTGGAAGCTATTTCCAGGCTATATGTGTTTTTCAAGCTATAAAAATTGCAGTATTAAGCCAAGTCTGGGTGGTTCAAACCTGTAAACCCAGACTTAAGCAAGGAATTGCAAGAACAAGGCCTGGCTGAGCTACAGAGTTAAATTCAAAGCCAGCCTCTTTAACCTAGGAAGACTATAGGAAGGAAGGAAGGAGGAAGGGATGGAGAAAGGAAGAGAAGGAAGGAAGGAAGGACAGAGGGATGGAAGAATGGAAGGAAGGAAGATGTTTGAAGAATTGGGGAATGCAAAAGGCCCTAAAGTTAATGCCCAGCATAGAGGAGTAGGGCATAGTAGTAGATATAATTACAATTCTTGCTGTTGTAGTGGCTTAAGTTTGTAATCCCAGCACTCAACAGGCTGAGGCAGGTGGAGAGAACTGCCAGTTCAAGGTCAGCCTGGGCTACATGGGGTGACTCTATGTAAAAAAAAATATTTGCACTTCTGAACCAGCAGGTAAAGGTTGCCACCAAGCCTGGCCATCAGAGTGCAATCTTCAGAACCTATATTGTGAAAAGCACCGACTCTTTAAAGCTGACTTCTGACCTCCGTATTTACACATGTGCACACATGCATATGTGTGTGTACACATGAATAAATAAAACATTGTAGATAAATAAATCCTTTAAAAAACTTACAATTAGTTTAGGACAAAAGTCATTTGGTGCTTCCGTAACTATCCTATAGATTGAGTGACCTGGGGACAACATCAGATTTGCACTCTGTCACTGTATCACCACATCAGTATGATTATCTCAATAGGGTCATTTGAAGCACCTATTTATTGTGTTTCTGCCTTTTGTTTTTTCAGGGGTCTTAGGGTCTCACAGTGTTGCTGAGGCTGGTCTCCAATCCCTGAGTTCATGTCAGCCTCCCATCTCAGAACGCTGCCGCCAGATATGATTTCACATGCCTAAAATACCAGAACATTATTTTTAAATATTTTTATTAGTCATCAGGTTATGAGGTTTTCTGCTTGTTATTCACCTAAGAGTTTTGGACAGCTGGAACAATAAGAAACAACTTCATTTCATATGACTCTTTCTCAAAGATGCTATAGTCCTAGTTGATAACTAAAAAAGTTATTTACTACATGGACTCATTATAGTGGGATCCAATGTACTGATGTGATGTCTTCATAATAATCTTACCTAACAAGAGCCATTATCTTGTTAAAACTGTTGACAAGAAAGAAAAGTAGAATAAGAGACAGAAAAAAAGGGACATGGTTGGAAATCATATGAGGTGTGTTTGTGTGTGTGTGTGTGTGTGTGTGTGTGTGTGTGTGTGTATGTGCAACTGTGTGTCCACACATGGTTTTTTATTTATATGAATTCTGGGGACTAAACTTGGGTCTTCTCACTTACATGGCAAGCATTTTATCAATGGAGCTATCTCCCCAGCTCAATTCTTTTTAAACCTTAGCATTGATTATTTTAAGCAATTTTGAGGTTATTTTAAATCTTAGCATTGTGGTACACAACTGCAATCCTACCACTTTGTAGGTAAAATTGGTAGGACCAGGATTTCAAGGTTATCCTTGGCAACATAACAAATTCTGGCCTATATGAAAACATGTCTCAAAAACGAAGAGCTAATTTTAAATAACTAAGTTTGCATTGATGGGCTACAGGTAGTTAACAGGTTCTGGGGGAGGGGTGTCACTTTTTAGTCATATAGTGATTGATAAATTGCCCATGTTCCAGTAAATAACCCTCATTCATGCAAGAAAGCATAATTATACTCATTGGGTCTAAAATGAAGACCAAAGCAGGAAAGGGCTTGCTGAGAAGAAGGGTTTCAGTGTGAGAGGGTGAGAAAAACTCTTAGTTTGGTCATAAATACCTTTTAGAATCTACAATAAGCTACAAAAACTCTTCACATAAAAATACATATATATAGAAACACACAATTTATAATTTCATAAGCTTCCAGATGGCTCTGAAATATTCATATGGTAGTTATAAATTCCTGTGTGGGTCTGGGGGGTCTTAGGTCTTGGATTAGTAATAAAACATGCTCATCGTGAGTAAAGCCCTGGGCTCCATCTCAGTACTACACACACACAAAGAAGTTGTACTTTAAAAAGTGTTCCATCTTCCCATGAGCATCAAATCAATTAACGGCACTTGAATGTGACCCAGCACTACTACGTTATCAAACTGAGCCACCAGTTAGCAATTAGTGTCAACCTGACACTGATTTTATGCTACTTTCCAAACTTGCTATTTCCATAATCCTCCACCCTCATTACCTGAGGCTCTGGAGCAGTTGGATGAGTAACAACATGGTGGTTTCTAAGGCTATCAGAGGGATGGGCTGTGTACACAGCAGGTATTATATACTGTCCTCTCTTCCAACAACAGGGGACCAAATGTTTCTCATCAAATTAAAGGAATCTTAAGATG